GAGTGATTAGGTAATAGAGTCCACTGAACATGTGGGAAGAGAAAATAAAAAATAATGTTGAAAAGGATTAAAAAGACGATGACTCGAACATTTTATATGTGACAGTGTTAATGTGTGGTCTAACAGTCATTGTCTATGTGATACAGAGGCTGACCGACAGTTTAGTATGCAGCAAAGAAGAGAACCAGTCCCACAGACGGTGGAAAGAGGGTAATCAAACAGGCGAAAGCAAAGTAATTCGTTTAGTCGTTAGATAACTGTTTTTATATTTTAAAATAATCTTACTTTAATCACTTTCATCTCCTCACTTCATTTGTTATGAAAGCCCTCCTGAACTCTTGAGTGTGCTCCATTTGTTTTGCCTGGGTTGAAGGCCAACTGTAATAAAGAGTGCTGCTTGGTTTCAGCTCATATTCCTCTCCTTATCTAATCCCATTAAGGCTCACGCTTCAGGAAATAGGAGTGCCTCCTGGTAATGAAGAAATACATTAACGGAGCTGCAAAATGGCTGTACAAAGGCTGTTTTCTCCTTCAGTAATCCCTGCGACATATTCCTGCAGAGCTCCCGTTTATTTATAAAGATCGTTTTGACTGTGCGGAGCAATTTGGTAATGACCGCATACAGCTGAAGTGCATTTTAAGCGAAAGTGTTGTGCATAACACTGCTTTGTGAGAAAATTAAACCAGGATATCAAGGTAAGCAAGTGAGTTATGGTGTATAAAAACCTTAATTCCAGCTACTCAAGGCCTTTTAAACCCAGACTGTAGATGTGAGGGCTCTTCACTGCCAGCTTCAAAAGCTTGAGTGTCCCATTGTTTATGCATGACTGTCAGTCACAGACATAGCAGCTTAAGAATAAGGAGGAGGTGGCAGAAAATTGTAAGTGACGAGTTTACATTCCAATAAAGTGTACAGGGATAATTTTTTGTTTTCCAGATTGCTGTATTTAAAATGATCTGAAATGCTGAGTGTGCTTTGGATAGTAAAAACTCCCCTTTCTCTCATGCACACACACTTGCACAGCACAGCAGCAGCCTGTCTGTCCCAGTTACCACAGGATGCATCTGTACACTTCAGTCACACCTTCTTCTGCATGCATGAAAAATGAAATCCTTCAAGGCTCAAGCAAGAAATAAGTGGATGTCTGGAGTGTCAGTAGCACAGGTTTAATGGGGCTAACGGTGGTTGTCTGAGCTTCTGCTACTTTGGTGCCTGCTTTCAGGAAAAACGAAGCAGGAAAATAATTTAAAATAAGAAGCTTTTACGGAGCAGACCATTGAGCATTTAATAATGCATGAGTTGCTTTACAAAGTTAATAGATTTTGTTATAGAATTACAGCCAGTTAATGTGAACACATTCCTTACAGGCCATCTTCAGAAAAATCCAGTATGGTGAGAGCTTCCTGTTACGTAACACTGCTCCTCACTATCAGCAGAGTCTGCATGGCATCCAACCCAAGCTTCAGATGCCCATACTCTAAGGATGAATATGACTTGAGAACGTTTGCCTCATCAAGGAAGTTACTATTTATAAATGTTCCCTTATAAAATGTGTAATTTAACAGCAGCTAAATTGTTGCTACCTCTACCTTCCTAAAAATGCACAAATGCTTGCAGTGCTTTTGCTGAATGAACACAAATTCAACTGTAAGCTATATGTGGAAAAAGTGGAAGATCTTTGTTTGTTGTTACCAAGTTGCTTATCTACCATTTTTATTAATACCAGTGAGGAATACTGTGCTTTGTGATCACGTTGCTGATTGAAAATGACTTTTTTTTTTACCAGTTCTCTTTCTAGTTTAATTTCCTCTGGCTAAAATGAGTAGACATACACGTAGATGTATTTGGCACTCTGCTGCCACCTTTTGTAGTGTTCAGAACATTACCTCAGAAGCATAGTTTGCTGTCTTTTCATAGCCATATTACAATATATATATATGGCCATGTTAAAAGAAGAAAAGGGCTTCTCTCACCTCTGTTTATTCAGGTATATATAAATCATAATCAAAATGAAATATTTTCCAAAGTACTCTTTTCATGTCAAATCATTTTTAATATCAAGGCAAGAACATTACTGATGATATTTTCTCTTATCCACATTTATTCACAACCAAAAGCTGATCCTCACAAGATTTTAATACATTTTAGATTCACTTTTTTGTAGTTTCCTCCTCCTTTGATAAGTTCTTGATGATCTCTTCTTTCTTGGCCTGGAGACGCTCTTCTCTGCGTTTGCGGGCTTCTCTTGTCTTTGTGCGCCGGGCCTCGGCTTGGTCACTGCAGGACAGAAACAAATTCATTTCAGTGTATAAATGTTGCTGCGCTTGGAGTGAAATAATACAAGAAAAGAAGAAGTGGAAACGTACGCCAGGAGCTTCTTGCGAGCCTTGTCAGCCTTTAATTTGTGGATGTGCTCCATAAGGATGCGTTTGTTTTTGAAGACATTACCCTTGGCTCTTAGGTAGAGACTGTGGTACCTAGAAGACACAAAACATTACTCATCTATCAATGAAACTGACATAAAACCTTATTCATGATCAGTGAGTACATCAGTGATGACATTCACTCTTACATGTGCCTGTCAATTTTTTTGGACTCCCTGTAGCGACGAAGAAGACGTCGCAGAATTCTCATGCGCCGCATCCATGACAACTTCTCCGGCATACGAGCATTGGCCGTGCCCTTTCTCTTACCTGGAAAGAAAATTATATTACTGAAATAAAACTCTTATCTTACTCCAAGTTCATACTGAAACCACCACTAGTTGCAGTTTCTATAAGCAGTCCTTAACATGTACACACCGCTTGATTTTATTTTCCCAAATACGCAATTATTAGCCACATTATTAGTGAAAGCAAATTTGGGGAAAGATAACAATAACCTAACTACTCACCATAACCCGTGTGACGTCCCTTGCGGCGTGCCAGTGTGTTCTTGCGGCAGCGTGCGCGGGAATGAACAGTCACAGGTTTTCTGATGATCAGTCCATCCTTTACCAGTTTTCGTATCTGCTGGCCTGTAGCCCAAATAAAATTCATTTAAATAAAAGCGTAAATTTAAGGAGCCCAGAGCCTACTACATAAATCCACAAAGGAAACAACTCACGAGAGTTTGCGTTGGCAATCTCATTGGTCTCGTTGGGGTCCAGCCACACTTTCTTTTTACCACAGCGCAAGACACTGGAGGCCAAGCGCTTCTGGAGCCTGAGCATGCTGGAAGAGCAAAATCATTATATAAGCACTGTTGGAAACAGTTTTTATTAAACTAAATTAAAAACAAACAAACAAACAAACCCCCCAATATTACAGCAACAAGATGCGTATCATACCGAATTTCCCAGAGAAACCCACCCGAGGGATTAATAAGTTCTATCTTATCTTATCTTATCTTATTTGATTTAGTTTAATCTAGTTTAGTCCAGTGTGGATATAATTTAGTAATAGAAATTATAATTCTATTACTAATTCACCCTGGCAGTTACAGAAAACATACATGAAAAAAAATGTGTCACATTCTACGTTTCTGTAGTACAATCTTATTTGTTAGGATGGAATAAACTTTGCCTACCCATCACCATTCAATTAAAAAGCACTCTCGATTGTGTTCATAAGCCATTTTTACTTCATACCTAATTTTTTATGCCTATACAAGAAGGTGTGACCTTGACCAGTTGAGCGCCTAACGCCAATATATCATTTAAATTATTTTCTTCGAGTGTCATAAACTAACTGTTACATAAATGGACAAATCAGCTACTGAACTTCCATTTGAGTGTTTTTTGATGAAAGGCTGTAAAAGATTGAAACGTCATTTGCTGACTTTTAGATGTGTAGTAAACTTGTTTGTTTACTGGTTGGTTTTCCACTTGGGAGAAGAAGACTATAGCCCAAGTACCAAAACACATGACAACAAGTAACACCTCTACCTTGCCGAGATAATTGACTTTCATTATTAAATCTGTTTTATTTCACTCAATCCATTCGTCAGCTTGTTGAAAAAAAGTCAAAACACTGCAGTCTTTACAGCTGATGCCTGGCTCAGTAGACGGGCTGTCTTCTAACATGTTGTGACATGTCTCACTATATTAGCACGGTTTGCTTACCAACAAAGGCCATCAACGCATTCTGGTAGAAATGAGCGAATTCACTCAAAGTCATCTAGACAGTTCTCCCCGCTGTTTTAAATAAAAAGAATCTCTAACACTTCCTGCACTCTGCTTGGAAATGAAAAGCTTAATTAAATTTCAAATATACAGCTTACCTCATGGCTGCTGCTAGCTTGATAGAAACGAAGGAAATAGAATGTTTGTGACACTACCATTATAGCCATTGCCATGGGTGAGACAACTGTGACTGTAATATATAGAAATGTAAATACAGCCAATGTTTATGAAGTGACAGAATAGTTAAATAATTAACTAATAATTAATACCAAATAATTAATAATCTTAATCTTTTGGCTTTGGTTTACTGCGTCTTAAAATAAGCCACAGTAACCCTATTGATGTAGCACAGTGGTACGGTCCGATAAAATGCTTGTATCAATCCGCCCACTGGAGGGCGCGTTAACCCAATGTTTCAAAGACTGCATTTTAAAAACAGCTTTAAAAAAAAAAAAGCTTTGTCAAGATGACACATTTCCACATCAAATAAAAAAAGGACAAAAAAAAAATAGAAATACTAACGCACCTTTATATTAAGTGTTTAATGTTGTCAAATTGCAACGCAAAGTGGTCAAAGTGGCGTCGTGCTGCCCTCTTCTGGCTGGTGGCAGAGCGGCGCCGCTGCTTGTACCAAAACAAAACCACCGCAAGTGGTCCTCCCTCCTGTCACACATCCCCGAGTGTCAGAGCTGTGTTGTCCGGTGTACCAAGGACAGTGGAGCTAGTGTGTTACAAAAGAAGCGTACCGAAATACTCAGCGGCCGGCTGTTTGTCGATAAGCTTACATTTTAGATATGACTCAGCGTAACACTGTTGTCAAGGTAAGTGAGAGTCCATTCTCGCGAGCGTGGCTGGAGAGCTAATGCTAACAGCTACATCGTTGCATTATTAGTAACTCTTACTAACGCCGGTCCTGTCCTGTCATAGAAACAGTAACTGTGTCGTTAATATGGAGTTGTTGACACGGTTGTGAGAGATAATTACTTATCATTTAGAGCCGTTTTTCACAGTAAAACACGACATAGTCGGTCAACTTTACACTGACATTGAGTTCGAGACGACCCCCGGCAGTGTGGGATTTGACATTTTTCCATGTCTCATCCGCACTGAGGTAAACCGGGCTAATGCTAATCATTTAAGATTCAGACTAGATTAAGACATCGAGTGGAGAACAGGTTAAAGTCACCCCTGTCTTGGAGACGATCGTGAGTACCGGCGTTAGCTGTAAGATGAGATGTGCCTCATGAAGCTCGGAAGCATGCCATGCAGCGTGCCACAGACGGTCACGGAAGCTGCTCACATCACGTTTTAATAACTTTACGCAACACCATCCAAATGCACAAACTGGAGACTTTTTAATAATGTCTTTCTAGGAGGTGTCGGCTGTAACTGAACACTGCCGCGTTTCCGCGGCCAAGCTAGACATGGGCATGGCTGGTTGGTGCTATTGTTGTCTGATCAGCTAGTTATCTGAACTGACCATCTGTCACAAAGAGACCTCTCCTGTTTGACCTGCTTATTGCAAGGCAGGTCTGAGCCTGTCTGCCGGATTAACCCAGTGGTTTTCAGTGTGCATGAACAGGCATGATTTTGCTAAAGGTAAATAAAACGTGTTTGTGTGGCAGATGGCCCAGGCCATACTTTGCCAGTGTAATTCGATAGTAGCGCCTCAGCGTGTTGTTTTTTAATAATTTCTTGATGATACTTCATTTTGAAATTACTGATTGAATCAAATATTTAACAACGTTATAACAGATAGTGGAAGTTGCTACAAACTAATGTAGATATATCCCATGGAAATTATTCAAATTAGTTTATAGGATTTGCATACGTTGAACGTTATTATCCGTGTACTCATTAAACTTTAATGCAGTGTAAGGGCTACCTTCACTTGTTATCTAATTCCCTCAAGCTCCTCATTCTTGGAGGTCTTTGTTTTTCTGGAGTACTCTCGGCCGTTGACCCCTTTGAAATCTCTGCTTCCCTCATCTGTGTGCACATCACCCACTACAACCACGACACCACAGGAGGACAATGTCACAATGTTCGTTCATTCATTCATTGAAGCTTGTTAGGCAGGAACATTTTTGTGAAGAGGCCAGTCTGCTGACAGTCAGACGTATTATTCAGAGAAAGATGGACCGACAGTGTCCTTAACTGACACACGTACTGTACAGTCTGTGTAAGCATTCATTCATAAATTGACTAATTTCCAGGCTAATCAGAGACATTCTCTTAATTACCTTTGTGGGTTCTCTTCACATCTTCTCTCTTTCCTTACTGATGTCTAGCTATCCCCTTACCTTGTTTCTTCAGGAAGGTTCAGTGGTTATGCTATGTTTGGTTCATTGTAAAATCCTCCAGCATTGTGTGTTTAGTGTAAATTTTGACTTTGTTTCAGGACGCTTACCAGTGTTATGCAGGACAACTGGTGTGTAACAAAAGCAAAGTGTCATTTGAGGCACATTAGACAAATTATGTTTAAAATGCCAAACAAAAGCTTCCCATTATGTTATTTTTAGATTGCTATTTTGTGTAGTGACCATTTCTACATAGTGACTGATAGGGACGCTCCAGCTGTGTAACCGTGAGCTGATACTCATGTTAAAATGTCAGCTTGGGCAATACTGGCGTTTTACTTTTGTTTTGTTGTTGTTTGCCAATGGGCCTCTGCCAGAAATCATGGTGAATTGGTGACTTGTCAGATAGCACTGTTCAGCCAGTAAATCAGTGCGTACATAGTAGTTGATGTTGTTATTCAATCTAACTGCGGGCCTTTGATAAAATGATAATTTTTCTGTGCCATAAACCTGCTGCTTCCCAAAGTAAAGGCTTTATTTGGTTCTGTTATTTGTTTTTTTCCATTGTCAAATATTTAATGTGTGCATTAAGCTAAACCAAAAAAAGAGCAGCGTAGTTTGGCTGCATATATCTGAGTTTGTGCATTTAATTTAAGGTTCTTGTCAGCTGGAGTTGAGTACGACAGCTGTGTCTTGAGGGCAGATGATGATCTTAATTAACATCTTTAGAAGTGCATTGTTTGGTGTTTGAAAATGTTTGTGTTTTCTAAAATGAGGAAGTCTTTGCCCTATCTGTGGTCACACTGCTATTTAAAATGGCTTACTCGCATATCAGTTAAAGAAGTAAAACTTTGACTTCTCTGTTAACTAGTCCCACCAGACTGCATTCAGTCTGAGATGTTGGGGTGATTAATATACATTATTATCTGCTGCATCTTGTTGGTTTTTCCAGTATGACTTCCGACTTTTCTTAGAAAATCAGGTCTAACCGGAGCATGCCAGCGTTGACTGAATCTGAATAGCACAGCGATGCCTCATGTGGGAGGTGCTGACTTTTGGTTTTAAAGTTGAAAGGAAGCTGTTAACATCTGGTTGTTCACCATCATTGCTCATGCAGTCAAAATGCTGAGCAGAGGCTGCTTGTGAAGGCGATATAAGCTATGTCGCCCACTGTAGCTTAATACATTGCTGCAGTGAGTGTTGTATTTTTCCACCAGCTAGATTTAAACTCTGTGCATTTTCTTTGTGCTACTCACTAATATTTATTGATCACTTAAATTAAAAAAATATAACTGTATTGTATTTGTGTGTGCTGTCAGCTTGCCAGCTAGTGGTGTGTGACCAGGAGGGAGAGGAAGGAGACAGCAGAGAGCATGGAGCTGTCAGATGGCTTGCTGCTGCAGGTCAGCAATGGAGAGCAGTGGTGTAACCGCTGGAAACATCCCAATGAAGACTCGGTAAGCCACAATTAATTTGTTTTCTTTTTGTTGTTGTTGTAATTTTCATTGTACATTCAGAACAGCGCCATGCATCCCCCCCAAGATCAAAGGTGATAAATATCAACTCAGCACACACGGTCCTTTCATGTGATGCTTTTGCTTCTTCCTGATCAATCTTTTTTTTTATGCATTTCAAGGACCGCAGCACCAGCCCTTCAGTCCTGCGTAATGTCGCCAGCACGTGGAAGGAGGGTCTGCTGAACAGAAAGAGGCCCTTTGTGGGGCGCTGCTGTCACTCCTGTACACCACAGAGCTGGGTAAAATTACATCACGGCTAATTAACTGTGGCTTGAGTTCATTTGCTGATTTCTGGTCTTTTGTAAAGAAATTGGCCAGCATGGAATCGAATAGTTCCTGCTAACTCGATCTATCCTGGCTGTTCGAAAAAACAAGCAGTCCTCTTAAAAAAATCATAATTAAAAATAATTTTAGATAAGTCATTATTATTCATATAATTTATTCAGATCTAATTTGATTATTTAATTTGCTAATTAAATGATATGTGGATCTCAGGTTGTCTTCCTGTGTTTATATGATAAAGGTGAAAATCTGAAAAGTGGTTGCAAGGCATTTTCAAGGAATGTTTTTTTTTAGACATAAAGCAATTCTTAAAACACCTCATTATTGAGTTTAGTGCAGTAATATAAAAAATTAGCTGTTAAAAGGTTCAATTCTAGTTAAATTTATTTTCTTAACGAGAATTAAAGCATAACAAGCTGTAAAGTAACGCGAAACAAAACTGATTCGAGTTACTTTCTCATTTTTTTATCTTTTTTGTTCCTTACAGGAGAGACTGTTCAATCCCAGTATTCCATCTCTGGGTCTGCGAAACGTCATCTACATAAACGAGACCCACACTAGGTAAACGGAGCTTTTCACTTCCCTTCCACTTTAGGAACATTCTTCAACTGAAACTTCACGTCGTGCTTTGGCAGAACAGGAAAGTCTCTACTTGCCTTGTCAGTCCTCTGATCTCCAATCAGTCCCATTGAATGCAGTTCAGATTTAGGGTGAAATTCTTAACAACCAGTGTAAAATAACTGGATTTAAGTCAAGAGGATGACTCTCTGAAATTGTGGAAAGGTCGACAGATGAATAATTTACAGTGTTTGTCAGTGGACACCAGACACATGCACCCAGTGGCTGGCTTTTGTTGACAATACTCAGTAAGATATATGCCACCATGCTCCAAACCGAATGGGGAAAAACAGAAATAAGTTAATATCTAGTTCTATTAGCATGGAAACAGAGATGGTGATGTACCGTACTCAGCATGGTTGGGTTAGCATCGTTTGCTTTGTCCTGACACAGTCAGTATTATGTTACATGAAAGCTCATCAAGGTATAGCAAACCTGACCTGTAACACAGCTGTTGATGATGAAGCTGTGTGTTTGGGTTATGCAGGTTATGCATTGTTCTGCAGTTCCTGGAAATGTGATATTACCATGAAAAGTCGTGCAAGTATTCCTGACTGTCCCTTATCTGGATGTTGATTCATATATTTAACTTATGTGTTTTTGTGCGAAAAGCAAGGCTCATGTTTATAACACAGCTTACAGCATATATCTGAGTATATTTGAGAATCTCTTCTCGTATGTAAATATGTATCGTTTATGTGGTTTTATGCAAGCGTTTTTCTGTGTGTGCTCATCTAGACAGCGGGGCTGGCTGGCACGCAGACTGAGTTATGTGCTTTTCGTTGTGGAGAGAGATGTCCACAAGGACATGTTCACCAGGAACATGGTGGATAACGTACTCAACAACAGCAGGTAAAAGTCAGGATACAGGAAATTCAGCCCACATCAAACTTTATTTTCCAATCATAGATAAATTTGTGATATGGTGGACATAAAGAAACCATTTTATTAGAGAAATGGAGACAATGCGTTGAATGTTAGAAGAGGCAGCTTTATGTTTGTGTTCTTCTTTTGTTGATTGCAGGGTGGAGGATGCTATTGTGACAGTAGCAACAGACTTGGATGCTGCAGCCAGCCAGCCTGGTCAGGAGCACAAAGCTGTCAGCAAAGTAAAGCAGAAAGCCAGGGCCTTCCTCCAAGAGATGGTTGCTAACATTTCCCCAGCCTTCATTAGGTATTTATACTTTTTAGTTTATGACAATATTGTAATGCCTTAAGCAATCCTGCTATGTTGTGTTCTGTTCTACATCTTAATTTTTCTTTTGGATTAGGCTAACTGGTTGGGTGCTTTTGAGGCTGTTTAATGGCTTCTTCTGGAGCATCCAGATCCACAAAGGACAGCTGGAAATGGTGAAGAAAGCTGCTACAGAGGTGAGGGGCAAAGACACACATGATAAACTGTCTCAGCACAATCTGCTACCCAAAATGAGTAAGACTGTTTTTTCCATTAATATTGAAAACTTGTTTCTAATTGCTGAAAACGGTAACGGCTAAACCGATAAAGCTGATGCAGTATTTCATGTACATAGTCTTCTTCACTGATTGCTGTGTCTTGATTAACTAGCGAAGCAGCCTTTATTTCTGACCACTGAAGAGGCTTTATGAATGTAAATGATTGATAGTTGTAAATATACATAAACTAGCACTAAATATACACTCCACTTTATTAGGTACACCATGCTAGTACCAGGTTGGACCCCCTTTTGACTTCAGTACTGCTTTAATTCTCTGTGGCACAGATTCAGATTTTGAACAGTGTTGACATGATAACATCATGCTGCAGATTTTTTGGCGGCACATCTGAGATACAAATCTGTCGTTCCACGACTCTGTAAAGGTGCTTCATTTGATTGAGATCTGGTGACTGTTGAGGCCATTTGAGTATAGTGAACTTGCTGTCATGTTCAGGAAACCAGTTTGAGATCATTTAAGCTTTGTTACATGGCATGATATTCACACTGGAAGATGGGTACAGTGCGGCAATAAAGGGATGGGTATGATGAGTAGCAATACTCGGAGCTAGGTTCTAGTGTTTAAATGATGCTCATTTTCTACTATGGGATCTTAAGTTTGCTACGAAAATTTGCCCCACCACCATTAGCCCGAACAATGCAGGATGGATCCCTACCTTTATGTCTGATTTTGACCTTACCATCCAAATCTTGCAGCAGTAATCAAGTGTTCAGTTCAACTCAAAGCAGTCTGCTCATTTTTCTCTGGCCTCTGACTTCACCAAGGTATTCTTACTCAAAGAACTGCTGGATGTTTTCTCCTTTACAGGAAAATCCCAGTAGATCAGCAGTGTCTGAAATACTTAGATCAGCTCATCTGGCAGCAACACTCAAGCCACGTTCAAAATCACTTAAATGACCTTTCTTCCCCATTCTGATGCTCGGTTTAAACCTCAGCAGTTCATCATGGCTGTGTTTACACACCTAAATGCATTCAGTTCCTGGGCAGTTATTGGGATTGGCTGATTGGACTTGTGAGTTAACAAGCAGTTGAACAAGTGTACCTAATAAACTGGCTGTTTAGCTGAGTGTTTATTTTCTTGCTTGTAATATTTACAAGGTGTTTTCTGTCATTGTACATTTCTCGTAGATAATAAAAGTGCTCAACATTGATCACATACAGAGTTCTTAAAAACGTGTTAGGAGAAATTGCTTATTTCTCTTTTCTTTGCAGCAAAATGTGCCGATGGTCTTCCTCCCAGTTCACAAATCCCACATCGACTACCTGCTCATCACGTTGATTCTGTTCTGTCATAACATCAAAGCCCCGCACATCGCTGCTGGAAACAACTTAAGCATCCCCATCCTCAGGTAAACGTGAGGCCTTGTGTGAAGATTGATCTGGAAATAAGGTGTATGTTTAACTCAAACAATAAAGAATTCCCTGGAAATATGTTCGATAGTTAAATCTTTTTTTTTTTATCCTGCTTCAACTAGCATTTGGTTCAGCACTGATCCTTTTGTACTACATGGGTATTTACAACATGGGTCCCTGAAGTGTCAGGATGAGTCATCTTTATATTTTAAGTGCTTCGGTATCAAACTGTCCTCCTTTTTCATCATAGTCACACCTTAATCCAAATTAGTATCTTGAGGAAATCACTGATTAAAACTGTATTTGCTGACAGCTGTGGAGTTTGTGCTCGCTGTTGCTGCCCATTGAAAAGCTTGGAAACTACTTTATAAAACTTCTTTGTTTTCAGCACCCTGATCCGTAAACTTGGAGGTTTCTTCATACGACGAAGAATGGAAGAGTCTGCAGATGGAAAGAAAGACATTTTGTACCGATCTCTTTTGCACGCAGTAAGTCTGCAGAGCGGGTTTTCTTCATGTTTTCTGCTCTGTGTGTTCTTTTCTATTGAATAATGAGAGAGTGAAATGTTTTTGTTATTTAAGCCTTGTCTTTGTTTCCAGTTTTACTTTGTAATTAGCATTATATCTTCCAAAGAACTTATTTTGACTCTGCTACAGTCCTGTCATTTGTAAGCCCAAACTAAATGTTTGGGTAGATATGCTCCTTTCCTTTATTGTAGTGACCCATGTGTCAACAGTTTTGCTCTCTAAACATATTGGGTCGGCTTATACGTCATCTAACCTTTTATTTACCATTTGTAACCCAGTATTGGTCATTATAGGTTTTTCTGTATCACATGACGAGTAGATGTTCAGGCTTGTGTTGCAGATTCATAGGTTTTTGTTAGTGTTTCGCCATCATAAACTACTTGGAAGATTTTCAGTGTGTTTTCTACAAAGTAGCGTGGAAACTTAGGTGGTTTATTTAATTGCATGGGTTGATCTGAGTGGCAGATTTTCTTTGTATCTTCAGAAGGGGTTGGCAATAAGTAACAGTGTATTGTGCTTGTAAGATAGGTTTGTGTTGTGTCCTTAAGATAAGAATTATCAGCCCAAGACATGAGCAGCTAGTAGAAATGATGAGCTGAAATTCAATCCTGTTATACAAAACATATTTTACCTCTTTTTCTTAAGATGAGATAAGATAACCTTTATTAGTCCCACACGTGGGAAATTTGTTTTGTCACAGCAGGAAGTGGACAGTGCAAAAGTTATGAAGCAAAAATTAGAATACAATAAGAATAAATACAGTACACAACTGTACAGAATAGAACACAATAAAATACTATATACAGTAGAATAAAATAGAATAAAATATACAATAGAATAAAAATAAAATACAAATTCTGTATACAACTGAGTAAAAATACAACGACGCCAGAAAAGGGTATTGCACTTAGTGTTATTGCACATGTCAAAGAGTGCACAAGTTGCAGCTGTAATGATTGAAAGTGGTCAAAGTAATTTAATTTGCTAAAAAGTGAGATTTTAATCTGGCACGCATGTGTCACTTGCCAGAATGGAATTAGCTTTCACAGGCAAGCTGTAGAAAAAGGTCACATGCTCTAACTCCAGTTGCTCCCATGAAAACTGAACCTAGACGTCCCGGCTTACTTTGAATGCCACGGCCTGGAGTTTATTTCAGGACAAAGCTTCTATTCTCAAAAGTGTCTGCATAGCTAAGACAGCTGTGTACACACTGTACTCAGGAGGATATCATTATACAGCAAAGCTACCTCAGCATGCACCCGATTTCCTACACTTTGAGTCTCATGTTTAACCTGCATACTACAGCACTGGCATGGCCTTGACTTTACTTGACTGTCAGCTTGTAATTAAGTGAATTTCCTGCTTTGGGACGTCAGCAAATTACATTTTCACCAAAAATACTGCGACCTTTACATGTATTATTTTCTCATTTGTCTGACGCACACCTTTTCTGTATTAACCTGATCATTTCCCTGTTTCGTCATTGTCGTAGTACACAGAGGAATTGTTGCGGCAGCAGCAGTTTTTGGAGGTCTTTCTGGAGGGGACTCGGTCGCGCAGTGGTAAGCCATCTCCAGCACGTGCAGGCATGCTGTCTATCGTGGTTGACACAATGTGCACGGGGGCCATCGGAGACGTGCTGGTGGTGCCAGTTGGCATCTCCTATGACCGCATTATTGAGGGAAACTACAATAGTGAGCAGCTGGTGAGTGTCTGGATGACGTCGGTGGCAACAAAGGTGTTTCTGTTTTTTGTTTTTTAATCATGCACAGAAAAAGAAAAATACACAGAAAAATAAATTAGTTGGATTTTGAATTTGTGACTGAAGAAAATGTATGTATTTCTGGTGGTAGAGCCAAGCATGTTTTGACACAAACTGCTTCAGCTGTGTCCTTATAGCTATATTTTTGGTAACTTTCAAATCTGTCTTGTTCTAGGGCAAGCCGAAGAAGAACGAAAGCTGGTGGGGAATAGCATGTGGTGTGTTCAGGATGTTGAGGAAGAACTACGGTTGTGTCCGTGTTGATTTCAACCAGCCCTTCTCCCTGAAGGTGATTAATCACACTAAAAAGAGCTGAAAATCTTCCATGTTTGTTTTTTATATTGAATATGTATTTATGAATACGTATGTCACATTTATGTCAATTATAGGAGTACTTGGACACCCAGAGAAGCCGTCATAGTCCACCACCTGTATCTCTGGAACATGCTTTGATGCCCACCATTATTTCTGCAGAGTTAGTACAAATATACACACACGCTCACTCCATAGTCTCACATGTCATGACCTTCCTGGACAATCTTCATGTCCAAGCTCTATACCTCCCTCCTGCTACTTCATGGCAGGCTCTGTGACATTTGAGAACGGGTCGTTAGTTAGCCCTGGCAGGGGTCAGATCAGTTCAAAGCTGTCTCTTCATAGTAAAAACGAGCGATAAAGCACTGTCGCTGGGATGACTGCAGTCTGGCCCAGCTGGTCTACAGTCAGTTTCAAAACTTGTGCCAACAGTGGTGATTAACAACCTTCTCAACTCTTTGGAGACAAATATTATGGAAGACTCTTTTCAACACTCGCGTGAAATAGCGGCATATCACGTTTTGCTAATGGCACGGATGGATGAGACATGCAATGACTTTGGCAAAAGCCAGGAAGTAAACGAGTAAGATAACCACCCTGAGATCACGTTAGATAAATGATGAAAAATAATTGGTAAGCTATTAACTTGAGATCTTGAACTTGAGTACTTTTTAACAGCAGGGGCAGATTGTTTGTAGAGAAGTCAGACACAGGGCACTCTCATGCCACTTTGTTCCTCTTTTGTCTATTTATTCGTCTATGTTTATTTGGGTTTTAAATACTGTATCCCCGTGTAGTGGTTGTATATTCTAATGTGTATTACATTTTACAGTACCCAATATTATTATATTCTAACATTATTGGGGGTTACACTGCAAGCTCCCAAAAATAGGAGTGAAAGATGAGCTGGTGTGTGTTTGGACATGACAACTGCCATCTTAAATTATACATACTGTGTGTGACACAGTAAAAAACACATTGGCTTGTTGTTATTATCCTTCCAGGCCTGATGCTCAGCTGTTTGATGGACAGGAGGAAGAGCAGGTGAACAGAGAGCTGCCCGAGGACATCTCTAGACGACAGCTTATCAACAACCTGGCCAAGCACGTTCTCTTTAGTAAGAAAATCACAACCCGCAGATGGTGGGTTTACTACATGCACGATGACTAGGAATCATAATTTAAAGTCTTCAGTAAGCACCGGTCCCTTAAATAAGCACATAAGTCTTCTTTTCATCCTGTGCTAAAGGTGCACCTGCTCACAAAGGCAGCACTCATGAAATACAGCACAGCATCAGTCCATCCGCTTTACATCACTCGGGGTGTTTTGCCCTGGGATAGCACTCCAGAAACCGGTTCTCCCCAGCTCATTCAGCTGCATTCTCCTACACTAGCTTTTTTTTTTTTTTTAAACCAACAGCCTATCACAGAACCACCAGCTGGATGGCATGTTGTTTTTAGCCAATAAGGTGAAGGGGAGGATGGAAGCACAGGGGAGGGGGAAGAATGCAGTACCAGCTTAGCTGTTCATAAATGTCCTGCACCTCTATGCTTGATTACTACTTTAGGTGATCTGTAGTAACCCTTGTCTTTACACACTCCCTCACATACTCTTTCTTTCTGCCTTTGAGTGCTATCAATATAATCAGCTCTTTTAGGCCTATTTAATATTTTATTTGTAGTAAGTCAAACTCTGATGAATTAATTAAAATGATATATAACAAAACACAGGTATATAGCTTTTTTACATCCTTTCTCCCCAGCCTATTAAATCAGACAGCCACCCACCTTGAGTTGGGTTCTGTCTGAGGCTTCTTTATGTTAAGACTTTTTTTTTTTTTTTTTTGTCCACACTTAATCACGCTCAAGGTTGAATCGTCTCTGTAATACTCTGTAAACTTTCCTGACTTGATATCTGCTATGATTGGATGCTATACATATATACACATATAAAAAGGAACTGAACACAGCTTAGTTTGGGGCTTACAGCACTGTAGTCTTGCTTTAAGGGTGTCTCAATGAATTACAAGTACTTCTGCTTTTTTTGTTCTCTTTCTGTTGTGTGTTGCTTATTATACCCTTTTGTATCTCCTCCTCATAGCGGCCAATAAATCGTCAGCAATCATGTCGACCCACATTGTGGCCTGTCTACTGCTGTATAGACACAGACAGGTATGTGTAGCTGTTGCCTCCTCTCTCCTCGTGTTCTGTCACTGCCAGATACACCAGCTCACATTTTTTAAAATCCTGCTATTATTACCCCGTCTGGTATGTTTGTTTTTTTTCCCCTTGTTCCTCTTCCGTTTAGCAGGTATGCACCTTCCTGGGCATGACACTTAAGTCATAAATATAGGAATAGATAACACTGTTAGAAAATCGTATTTCTTCCTGCATTCTCTTTCATCGCCTCTTGCATTAATTGTGAGACTCTGCCCTCTACAGACACACTAATGTCATGACAACTGCTCAGTGCTGCATACAACCCCAAAAGCCCTTTTGTAGTTTTTTTCTTTGTTTCTTGACTTTTATTATTTTGAAGTGGGCTTATTAAAATTCACCAATATACTTTTTTTTTTTTAAGTTTCTGATGTTGTTGTTGTTGTTTTTTCCTGCTGTTGTTGTTTTTGTGTCAGGGGGTGGTGTTGTCCAAGCTAGTGGAAGACTTCTTCAACATGAAGGAGGAGATCCTGTCACGAGACTTTGACTTGGGCTTTTCGGGGAACTCAGAGGACGTGGTCATGCGTGCTCTCCACCTCCTGGGGAACTGCCTCAATGTGACCAGCAGTTCTAATCGCAATGGAGAGTTTACCATCGCACCTAGTCAAACTGTACCTGCGCTTTTTGAGCTCAACTTCTACAGCAACGGCCTTTTCCATGTATTCATTTCTGATGCAATCATTGGTAAGTTATGCCAACAGTATTATGTGCTGTTTTGGTTCATCATTGTGGTTATTATTTAAGAAAAATATACTGAACATGTAAGTTTGAATAATACATTTTTTTAAAAATAGTTAGTTTAAATTGCTGTTTGAAGGTAAACAATTGACAGTAGATCTAAGTTCAGCAGTCCTAAACACACAGGTTTTCCTGTACCTCTCCAGCCTGTAGTGTCCTGTCGCTGCAGCGAGAGCTGGTCATGGAATCAGAGTCTGCTCGCCAGCCTGGCAATCCCAGTAGTCATCTTCTAAGTCAAGAGAGACTCATCCGCAAGGCCGCTGGTCTCTCCCACTTCCTTATCAATGAGGTGGCTGTAGCACCAGTAAGTCCTGCATATTCCATCTTTATCACTCCAAATGTCTGCGCACATTTTACATACGCGTCTATGATATTATGACTACTGCTGTCATCCACCTCGTGTCCACTGCCTCATTTCTTCAGCAGTGGACATGTTTACAATCAGAGTCCTTTTATATATGCCAGACATTGTTTTGTGCAATTGTGACAAGATAATTAATCCTAGGCTCTAAATGAAGATTATTTACAATGTTTGCATATTAGTTTACACTAGTAATGATGGAACAAGTTTGTTGACAAGTAGTTGTTTATAAAATTACATTTTCAACTCCTATGTGGTTTCATGTTTTAGCGTGTCTACATCTCTCCTGTCTGTCCCACAGCCTTGCCAGACTATTTACCAGGTTTTCCATGACACTGTAACCAGGCTGATCCAGTATGGAGTTCTTTATGTGGCAGAGGTGAGTTTACAGGCCATCAGCCGCTGGACAAAAATAACAGATCATGGCGGTTAATGTCAGAAGTTGAATGTTTTGGGAAGGACTCTTAGCGATAGTTGCTATTGGGTAATGAAACTTTCAGATCCTCTGATCTGTTTTTGTGCGTCAGGAGGACCAGGAGGAACTGAGCCCAAGCCCCACAGATGAGCCGTGGCCCAAAAAGTTTGCTGAGCCCCTTTCCTGGAGAAGTGACGAAGAGGATGAGGACAGCGATTTTGGAGAGGAGCAGAGAGATCGCTACCTTAAGGTATACTTAGACCATTTGGAATTTTGCAGCCAACACAATCGCCACAGCATTCACATCCAAACATCCACTGTTCACCATCAAAAATGACTTTATTTGACTTTTGGTCTGTTTGTGTTGTCTTTCAGGTGAGTGTTTCTGCAGAGCACCAGGAGTTCTTTGTCTTCCTTCAGCGGCTGCTCAGCCCGGTGCTGGAGGCCTACAGCGGGGCTGCGATCTTCGTCCACAGTCTGAGCCAGCCCATGGTCGAGTCCGACTACACCCAGAGGCTCTTCAGATACCTGCTCACACGCACAGAAAGAGGAGTGGCTGGTTATGGTAATATCCTAATATCGCCCACATACTGCACAATGTATTTAAAAAATAATTTAAAACTTCTCTAGTGTTACATCGCACTTGGAATTGAGAAAATTGCTAAAAATGAGAAAATGGTTTTTCCAGTCATGATTTTTTTTTTAGGTGCTGGGAATAAAGTCCAAAAGTATAAGTAGTATTCACATGAAAAATAAGAAATTACTATCAGATTAAAGAAGGATTTAGCTAGTGAAAAATTTTAAAAGTAAGATCCTGTCTCTGTTTTATGTATTTCAAGCACTTCTCTTTTCATTCAGGTGAAAGTGCAACTCATTATCTGGTTAAGAACACCGTGAGGACTTTCAAGGAGCTCGGGGTAAGCATGTGTGCATTTTTATGTGTGTATTTGGGTGATGTGCAGAGTCATCCAGCTAAACCTCCTGTTTTCTGTTTATTCTCCAGGTCCTAAAGGAGAGGAGAGAAAACAAGGTGACAACTCTGGAGCTAAGCAGCACCTTTCTACCTCAGGAAAATCGGAACAAACTCCTGCAGTATATCTTAGGTTTCACTCTGCTGTGACCGCGACGCGCGTCACCCAGCTCGGACCCCAGGCTCCTTCCAATAAAGGGCTTCTACTGGTTACTTCTAAACAGTCCCAGGTGCTACTCTGTGGAAAGCTTTACCAGGAAGTGCCTTCACGTAAAAGCAGCTAACTATCAGCTGTAGTCGGAAGAGACTTGAAGCCAGTCTTCCCTTTCTTCTTCTTTTTTTTTTTTTTCTTTTTGTTTCAGTCTCTGACTTCCTGTGTTAGAACCGCGCAGTTGATTTAACATGTGTATTGAAGGGGTCCCTCTAGGAATCGTTCGTTTGCAGGAGAAGTCAAAAGGTTTTAATATGGGAAAAAATAATTTAACCGTGCAGTCTGAACAAAGCAAAGCTGCCTTTTGTCTATACAAGTGAACAAGTAAAATATGCATATAAAATAACTGTAAACATAACCAACAACAGAGGCATTTTTATGTTAACTCTTTGTGCTTGTTTATAAAGTTGCCGTATTCTCTCCAGTGCACTCTAATATCTTACAGTTTAAAATGTGTTGCCTGTATATAGAACGTAGAACAACTTCATTTATAGTGCACTGAAATTATTACACTCTGGTGTAATTAAAGAGAAGAGTTCGCTGTACTCAGAGAGATACAGTGCACCTGCAAATTGTGTACATATCCAAGGTTTCAGTGGCAAAATGTATGAATTTAAATCTCCATACGGTGAAGGTCAGTTATTTCTAGTTGCTGTTTTTTTTTTTTGTTTTTTGTTTTTTAGATAAAAACAATCAGTGTGCAGTTTGGCCCATGAACAATATTTACTTAGCGAATGCAATATGTACCTGTTGAAAGTCTGGCGTAGTCAAGGCCTAAAACAATGTCCACCTACAGTTAAGTGCATTCAAACCACTAATATCTAAGTGCATTCACTTAAACTTTTCATATGAAAAGTGACTTTGATCTCTTTTCTTTTTGCAGAACACCTCACTTTTCGATGAATGTTACACAGCACAGCACTTAAAGTAATGAATACCAGCCATCACACCCACTTTTATTCTAATAACAACACGCTCAGACACTCTGTGACATGCCTTTCAGGAAAAGCAGATATTTGGGATTACCACCTCTTTTTTTTTTTTTTTTTTTTTTTTTTCTTCTATCATAAACACGCTGTATAGCCTTTATAGCATTGCTGCTGAAAGAGCAATAGTTGGGCATTTGTGAGTTGAAATTGCTGCATAGTGTGGTAAAATAGTGCAGTTCTTTTGAACAGTTGGCTAATTATGAGTGCAGTATAGTGTTCTCTTTACAGACCTCTGTAAGGTCAAAAACAAACAGGAAACAGAAAAAAATGCAGTCATCCAAAACCTCCGGGTTAAATTATTCTTCTTTCATGTTAGATATAGCAATGGAATTTTAAATTCCATCATTAGTTACATTCTTTAATAAAATCAATCTTACACTGACTTACATTATGATAGAGTTTACTCTAGTAACTAGATATTACCTATTCTTCTTCTTCTTATTATTATTATTATTATTGTTATAGTTGCATTTACACATTTAAGTGTTTCAGTGTTGGAATCAAAAAGTCAGATTATGCCTGACTGTGAAATTTTAAAAACATGAACAAAAAGCAGAGTGGCTGTGGTGAAACAACACAGCATTGTGCATTTGGCTGTGAGTTTCTAATTATGTTGTAAAGTAACTTGATAACACAAAGTCAATATTTAGTGTGTCTTTCAGTTTCAGTTTGCAGTGAACATGAATATAAACGTACACCGCTCCTCTTCTTGATGGCAAGAAAAAGAGGAAGCAGCAAGTTTGAAAGGAAGCGTAATGAATTGCCATCATTATTGAATGATCGTGAGGACATTGTTGATGCGTCAGGGCAATACAAGAATTGGGTCCTTTAAATAAATATTTCTATTGGGAAATACGTGTGATAGCTCAACACTTCTTGTTACAGGTCATTGTAATGTTTATTTTTCATATTTTTCTAAACTTGTAAGTGAAAAAAAGTTACATATTGGTGAAAGACACCTAAAGCATGTGGAAGAACAGAAGAGTATGTTACTGCAACAAGAATGTGCTCTGAGAGTGTCACGAGCTTTCTAGCATTTCTGAGCCCTCGGTCTGTACAAGTCTCCTCACCAGGGGACCCATCTGCCATGATCCAACCACTATACGTACTGTACTGCATGTTTCCTCTGGTCGCCTTTAATCATCGGCACTTCAATGTGAACTCTGCTCAACCTGATAATAATGGTCTTTTACAGCCTTACCGCTGTGTATGTCGTGTAAGTTGTGTTGATGAAAGCGAGCTGTATGTGTAGAAGATTAATTGTGTTACCTCTTGAATGTTATCTAAAAAGGTCATTGTGGTATTGTCGAATACTCGATGGACGTGGTACAGATTTATAGTTTTTAATGAACTGCTTGTGGGATACTGAAGTTGCATTAACCACATCCCACTACTCTGTATAACGTAGGATAAATGCCTGTATCTGGGAAGCAGGTGCCTTTTTAATGCACTGTAGTATTCTTTTGTTGTTTGTTTTTTCTTGTTTTTTTTTGTGCATGTTAATAATTTTGGGAATCCAAAAGAACACTGTAGATGGTAACTTGGAAAAAAAAATACACAAGTTGAGAGAACATGTTAGGATCACCAGCTACTAAAAATATGTCACTTTTCTTTTTGCTTTATCGAAGCAAAGCACAATTGGCATTGTTAGATTTTGTTTTTAAATAAATTAATGATAGATTAGTGATGGTGTTGCCTTTTTATTTCTTCTATTATATCTAAAAAGCATTTTGTGATTATTTTTCTGGTGTGTGAAAGGGGTAAAAGGTTATTATAGTTAACTAATGCTTAAATAAAAGTGAGTTAGGAATGGTAACTGCAATGAAAAATTAAATAAGAATAAACTATAGTCATGTTAAAGAGAGAATACACCATATTTCAGTTTCAAAGTTCAACAGGTCAATTATTTAAATACAACCTCAGATGAACAACAGCGTGAATTATTACACTGTGCATGAAACACTAAGTACATCCCATCACTCAGTAGCTTGTAGAACAAACTATTATTACCAGGACAGATTTTAAAAAGCTGAATATATTCAGTACATACGGGAACATAAACCCAAAGATAAACAAGCAGACACAGTTAACTGTAGGTGGTAGGTTATTGTTCATTACTGTACTTCTAACAGCTGCTTCTGACATGACAATTTCTCTCTGCAAAACATTAATATCTTCCAGTTTTCTGTAGTATTTGGAGTGAAAATAACTCCCAGTATGTCCAAAAGAAGTAAAAGGCGATCAAATGATGCAAACACATTATTAGCACATTAGAGCTAATTTTGTTTATTTATTTCTAAAGAGATCAAACTGCTAAATAAATAAATAAATACATTAAATTCTCTGGTTGCAGATCTGGTAATGTGGCAACTTTTGATGCATCTGTCTGTTTGTACAGACATCATTATGTGTCAGGCTGAGGAAGGAGGGAGGCTTGCTTTGTTAGGCCCATGGGAGGCTGTGAGGAGGATATATAGTGGATCGAGACCATGCGAAGCCTTAGTGGCAATGAGGACCAAACAGAGGCGACAGGTGTGCGTTCTTCTACCGAACAAGCAGCACCTGGATTGTGCTGTCACGGTGAGTGACCACAGGGCCTTTCTGTAGCATATTTTCTTGTTTGGTATTTTACTGTGACACGTCACATGGGCACACAGAAACCTAAATTACATTCATGTTAAGATTGCATTGATCTGTCAGTAGGGTATATTTATTTTTAAAACAGTGGAAGAGCTAAAACTGTATTTTATTAGAAAAAAACATATTTGCAAGAAAGCCAAAACACTGAAAGCATGGACTCTCAGTATGTTTTATGTTTTCTTTCTTCTTCCTGTGTGTTTATAGGTAAAAGCCAGAGGCCGTGAGGTGTTGAACAGTGTGTTGAAGCATCTTGGTGTCAGTGATCTCCAAGTGTTTGGTCTAGCTGTTATGAAAGGTCAGTTAGTTTCTGCGCGGGAGTTCAGGAGCAAATGTTTTTTATTCATTAAGTGTGGAACGCTGAGATTCTGGGAGGCTGCTGATAGTGAGTGAACCTGCTGTAAGATATGATAAATGGAAAGCCATCTCCTATCAGCCATAAACAACATAACTGAGGGATAACACGTGTTAAATGGACTCATTGTGTTGATTTCATGCAGCGCTGTCAAACATATGGTTTGCAGGACAAATATGGCCAAAACTGAGTTATTTTACTTGAGCGTGCAAGTTATGTCGAATTTTTTCTTCCTATTTTTCCACTCTTTCCTGTGCAGCATGAAGTGTTGTGTCAGGAGCAAACCTGCCTCAACTGTTAATTTTGCCGCCCTACTGAGAAGTGTGAAATATGGTCAGTTTCATGGCTGTTCATAGATGTGGTTCTTTGATTAAGACAGTTGCAGTTCTTTTTAATGACAGCAGATTTATTGAATGTGGAAAAACTGAGACATGTTGTTCAAATTGCGCTCACTATCTAAGACACACCAGCTAGTTTGTGATCCCATAAGTGTGAATGTTTTAAAAATGTATTTGTTCTTCTTCAGAGCAAATGCAATGGAAATAAAAGGCCTTTGTACTGCTAGGTTGTTAGTCAATATTTATACTTTTCTGGGCCACATGGTGTGAAACTGAGCTGTATGTAGACCCTAAACTGACCCTGACATCTCTGATTGAATGTGTGCTTTTTTTTTCTCCTTTTTTTAAGATAATGATTACCTGTTTCTTGATTTGGACCAAAAGCTGAGCAAGTACTTTGGGAAACGATGGAACAAAGGATATGTAATGGTTAGTTTTCCATTTCTTTTTTTGGTGTAGTGTTTGCACTGTTGAAACAGAAATCACCAGATCTACAAACAGCTCCATGCTGTAATGGGAACACTCTAAAAGCTGAATTTAGTGATCTCACGTAAAATTTCATGTTTTCCTGGTTTAATTGGCAGTCATGATGATTTGCACATCAATGATCTCAAGTAGATCTTGTGGCTCATTGTTATGCACTGGTGCTGATTTCAGTAGTTGTGCAACTTTGCTGTTTACAAGACTGGGGAAACCTGCAACAGATAAGACTGAAGGCGTTGCTTGTATGAGTACTAAGATGTTTCTCCCAGTGAAAACACTGTATCCAGATAAAGTCCACCAATGGACGACTAACATGTCAAACATGTTAGAAAGATCTGGCTTATTTTAAAAGTTCTTTTATGTCCACGTTTTCTTTTTCTTTTTTTAATGATTTATCATATTGGTCAAATATTAACTAGACTGTGTGATAGCAGAAACGATAAACTGAGTACTCTCTTTATTCATCCCACCTTTCCAGGTCCCGTTTATCTTATTTCTAAGAGTCCAGTATTATGTAGAAAGTGGGCTGCTAATTTTGTAAGTTTGTTTTCCATTACCTTCTTTTTCCAAGATTAATAATTTCCACTATAAGTGTTGTTAAAGTTTATGAAAATGTTTGTGGAAAAGTAGACACCTGACAGACTTCATAACAGGAAAAAGAAAACCTCCCTGTTTCTTGCAGGAGCACCACAGTGCAGCAGCTCTACTACACTGAGCTGAGGCAGAAGGTGCTGCGTTCACAGAGCCACCATCAGGAGGCTTTGTTCTTCCAGCTGGCAGCCTCTGCCCTCCAAGCTGACGTTGGCGATCTGGCACAGGGAGAGGAGACTGAGGAAGACGGAGAAGAGAAGAAGCAGGAGAAAAAACACAGATGCTACTTTCTCCCTGAAGATTACTTCCCCTCATGGGTAAATAAAAAGAAAGAAAAAGAAGTGTAGTCTAACCTTGACAGAAATACTCTTATATATATATATATCTGTGTGTTCATCTTCTCAGCTCATAAAGCGCAGAGGGAGAGAGTATATACTTCAGCACAGCCCAGTGCTGCATGGTGAGCTGAGGGGGGTGTCCCGCAGGCAAGCCATCCTGCACTTTATAAAGGAAGCCAACGAGCTGCAGGATGGACCTGTCACATTCTACAGGATGAGAGAGGTCAGACAGTGTTACAGTTAAACAAGGGCGAACTCTGTGTGAGGATGTCTGTTTCTTAATTAGTTTAAGAGAGACTAACTAAGAAACTTCTGTCCTGAGATGTTGAATATGGAGCTACCAGGCAGTTAAAAGGAAAAGGAAAAGCGGTCACATATATCAGACACTCCATAAACGCGTACATTTCAGAAAATCTTCAGAAAAATATCTTACAGGGTGTGAAAACTGTTACAGATCTCATAAAAAGCCCCAGTAATAATTCTTTGGCATGCTCTTGTATTATTTGTCTCCCTTGGTCATTTTAGAGAACTCTTTTTGAGTCATGTTTGTTATGTGAGCCCATGGCTTTAAAAAACAACAACAAAAAAACTGCTTTATCAACTATTATTTTACACACAGGAGGACAAACAGCCGAGGAGTTTAATCCTCCTTGGTGTGACAGTGAAAGGAGTCCATATTTGCCAGGTGAGTCGTTTTCAATGACAGTCTCACACATAATTTTAAATAAAGTTTATGAACTTATTTTCACATGTACATATAGATTCTTGATCTGAATTTGTGTTTTTAAGGAGGTGGAAGGGAAACAATCTTTGTTGTACGATTTCTCCTGGACAGGTATTGATCGCTTCACCTTTCAGGTTAGGTTCTAAAGACTGGACTATAATCAAAATATACATACAATACAGGTCACATTGACCTGCGTGTAGCTTTAACCGTAACACACGAGATCATCCTCTTTATGTATGGCTCTTACTTTTCAGGGCAACAGGTTTGAAATCACTGCTGTGGGCTCTTTGTGCCTTCCTAAACTGGTTTATTACACTAAATCAGCTTTCCACTCTAAACACATCCTGAGGCACCTCCGTGACAGTCACCAACTCCACATGAACATCAGAGATGCAGTCATTTCCATCCAACAGCTGGAAAACATGGGTAGTACGTAAGGCTTTACTTTACCACAACCTATCTAAGACACGACTGAGTCAGTTGTCTTGGTCTGAAACCAATATCATGTAATAATAATAACAATAAGTCTTTTAAGTGATTTTAAAAGATTTGAGATCACAGTCTCTTACACAGTCACACTCCAAAGGTGTTCTCTTTTCTGTCTATCTTCAGCCAAAGAAGCCTACATCTGCGACACAGCGTGCCTAAGAAAGAGTCTCCAGTGCAGCAACCTCACATCTTCAATGTCCGACTGCAGTGATGCTCTGGAAACAGCTACTGCCTGGTTTAAAGAGGAAAAGGAAGAGGACGGAGGCTCTACAACAGGTCTGCTATTGGGAGGAAATGATTGTGTAGATGGTGCAACATTTGCCTCTCAAACAAATTGTGCATTTACCGGTATGTTTGGAAACTGGTAAAAACACGTTTAATTCTACCCAGCAATGGTTTACAACAGTAGGTCTGCAGACCTAATTAAGGAAGAAAACAGCTGATGTTGCTGAAGTGACCAAGAGGGAAAGTTTAAAAGCTCATTAGGCAAATGAACGCAGAGCTACTTTCTTAACTTACCTGTCGTACTTTTGCCTTGAACTCAAAATCAGTTGTTTGTTTATACTGATGCCAGAGTCTGAGCTGTGGTTGGACGAATCAGAGGAGTTGTTTGTTGATGATCCAGCTGAGGTGTCCTGGCTGGCTGAGCTGCTCCGTGGTGTGTCTGTCGACGCTCCTTTGATGTTACCCTCTTTTTGCTGGGCAGGTTAGTCCAAAAACCACTAAGACCATTCTAAAATAACAGTTTAATCATGTGTTAGTTCTGTGTAACATGTGATATTGTGTCCTCTTTTATCAGCTGTCACCATGGAAATGAAACAGGTGAGCAAACTGCAGGTCTGTCTGTTTGAACATTTCCAGCACGATCCTGCATCAAAGCCAACATCCTTATCTGTGATCTTCAGGTTCTGTGGAAAAAAACGGATGAAGGGATATCTGTGGACTAATTGAGATTCAGAGGATGCAGGGGTTCATCACCCGTTCTTCATCTCAAGACAAGGAGACACCTGTTAGAGTTTGTTGTTATGGAGCTAAAATGCTGACAGGATACAGCTGAGCGTTATATTTTGTTTGCTTAGAGGAAACCTCATTATATGTGCTAAAACAGAAGCCATATAGTGACCTGAGTAGTTATAACTTGCTTTAAACTATACAGCCTAAAGTTGCAGTAATTACACTTCAGAAATCGAAAGAGGTATAATAGTGTTTTAATACATATTTACAAACTAAACATATTAAAATATCAATAACATAATAAATACAACACTTGGGACATTTTTGTCATTCTTTGAACAGTGCTATTACAATCAGTGCTGACTTCTGTTCATTTGCCATTATTAATGTTACCATTAAAAAATTGTTTAAGGTAATATGTCAGATTTTATTCTGTTTTATGATTCATGTGAAATTATGTTGTCAGGCTTCCACAGTGTGGCAGTATTTCCAAACAATCAGAGTCCATGCCATCATGTGAGAGGTCTAAGATGCTGTGTTAAGGGTGCACTCTCCTCTGGAGGTGTGGGTTCAAGGCACACTCCTGTTGTTGCGTTAAACCAAACATATATAAATGAGCTTTTCTGAAAATAAAGTAAAGATCTGTGTACAATATGAGAAGGTTGGTAGCAAAATCGGAGAGCAATGCACTGTGTAGGACACATGGAAGTACAGTGCCGAGGACTAATCTCCTTCAAAAACACAATGATAAAACCCTAATACTAAGCACTCAGAAGATTGCTTCACTGTCAGTGTTGACAGCTCTGCACATTGGGCCTTTTGTTTTGCCTTCTGACAATATTTCTGATTGCTACATTGAAAAAAGAAAAAAAGACAACAAAAATACTATATCAGCATTTTACCATTAAGAGACTGCGATCTGAACACAGCGCCTTAGACCACTCGGCCAGCCGGCTGGCTACTCACCTTGCTCATTGGCATGCTTTTGCCCCCTCTCCATGGGTGCTGAGAATTGTTGCAGTTTCTGAGGTTTGCATTCGAGGGTGTAGCCACGAAGACCGCTCCAGAGAGCAGGTGGCAACACTGTTGTCGTTGGTTCTGTCACACACTAGGCACTGGGTTTTTCTGTCAAGTTTCAAAAAAACGTGCTAGTCCTGAATCAGCAGATTTCTTTTTATTGGTTTAGAAATACGCTCGCTTTCAAGCCGCGAACGTTTGTTTGAGCACAGAGGGGCAGCATTTCATTGCTGCCTTGCTCAGTTTCAGCTGGGACCCAGATTGCATTTCCAAATGATATGATGATGCTTGTTAGGCATGATGGCAGCTATGATCATTGTGTTGCCACTAGGACTTTCAAATTTCACAAGGTTACATTCACACAAAGTTGTTTTTTTTTTCCTCATAATACTATTTATTAGCTATGCATCCCATTTTGCCTTTGAATACATTTTAGATTTTCATATACATCTATATTTTGTTTTGTTTTTTACAACTAGAGCAATGTCACTGGCCACACCGAATGACAGCCCTGAATTCCAAAAGTTTCCAGAGGAAAAACCAAAATATACTCAACTGATCAAGCTAGAAGTGGCTTATAATCATTAACTGTATATAAAAAGAGACTGATGTCATCCATTAGTTCAATTCTATTTAGAAATCTTAAGCTGAGCAGTTCCACAGTTGCCCTGACCTCTTTATCACCCAAAGCTTCTTTGCAACCACAGGAGTTGCCGTATATGACTATAATAGATAAACAATATCTATTATAGTCATATACACATCAAGGTCTTTCATTAATACGTAGTTACATCAGTTAAGTTGACCTTTCCAGAAAACTTAATTTACAGAATGTAAAATAATGTAAGCAAATCTTCACTAATACATAAAATAATGTTATTAAAACCTTAAGTGTAAGACCACTACATAACAGCACTAAAGAATTCCTCTGAAGCAACACCAATCTGCTCTTCAGCAGGGATAAGCACCACATATCTGTACAGAAAAAAAATCATTTTTACACATTTATGTTGTCATGTTTTTATCTCTTTAGCACCTCCTCTCACTCTCTCTATAAATCACAGTTAAAATACATTGTTTGGTTTTTGTGTGTTTTTAACATAGTGTAAGCTGATGAACTTTCTCTGCAAGAAGTTGTCATAATTTATGTTATTAGTACATTACATTCACTGCCCCGGAAAATGAAATAAAACCCCACGTCATGCACTGTCTCTGCAGTACAGTGTACATTTTTAGGACATCCTCAGGTCTCAGACAAAAAGTCATCAGGTCTCAGGTCTCAGAAATTCAGGTGTGAGGTCTCAAAAAAGTCAGGTCTCAAAGAGGTCAGGTCTAAGGTGTCAGGTCTCAGAACACAAGCTATCAGACGGAGAGAAGCCTCCTTTGATATTAAGAACAAAATGTATTGTCCCATAATAATCCTATTTAATCTGATCAGCATTTAGCATTTGACAAGAAAATTGCTGATGAATATAAACCTTGAGCAAAAGGACCTCTAGTGGTCAATCCCTGTACAGATAAACGCTGCATTTGTGTTAATGACCAGTAAGAGGTTTAAATTTGTTTTTAAAATCAGAGCAACCCATAAAAATAGATC